TCAACGCCTGAAAGTTGTATAATTGTCACTTTGCAGGCGACAGATGAAGTGTGTAGGGCCACTGCACGAGGTTCGGATCTATATCAGCGACTGCAACAACCCAAAACGATTTTTATCGCCTAAAATGCCTAAAAAAGGGTTTTAAAAGTAGGTATAGAGAATACATTGAAAATTGTCTAAGAGTTTCATGTTTTCTGATGTAAATTAATATTGTAGATTAAAAAATGCTATCAAAAATTAAAGACACATCCAAATCATATGAATAACATATATTGAAGCCTACTTTTGAAGGAAAAGTTCTTATCTTTGTGTAAATACTTCTAAACAGTTTTAGCTCCACCAACATAATTTGTGTTTATACACACATAACCATCGATGTCAGAGTTTCGTAAAATTAATGCAGGAAAATACCTAAATTCTAGCTTTTCCCTGCAAGTACGCCCTGGTCGTGTTCTGGAGTAGGACCTAATTGAATAGAAACTGCTATTAAGTGCCACATACACCAGATACAGTACTTTAGATGGAAAAAAAGAAAGGATAATAAAACATACAAAAATGAAAAAGCTTTCCATTATATTATAATAGTCCTTTGTAACACGATTTTACAGGAAGAATGATGTTTTTCGATTTTATATTACTTGTATTTATTGTCTATTTTAACGACTTCCCTATCGTAATATGTTCTAATTCTAATATTATAGATGTCGCTACATGTCATTTCCGTTTTGAGAAGTATAAATAGTTGGTATTTGCTAACCATAGTGACCTCGAAAGTAGATTTCGAAAGTTTAAGGATAAGGTAATAGAGTTTAAGCTGTTTGGTCATTATTTTATTTCACTTTCATATTTTTTTTTCAGTATTACTGGAGCGTGAACAGCAGCGATTTTCATCTTCCACAAGAATGGGGGCCAGTACTCAGAATCTCCAAATATATGAAAGGCCAAAGAACTTACAAATTTACAGTAACAGGTAATCGCAATTCTCGATTGTAGACATTATTCCACAATACAACACGCGATCATATCTTCCATATTTTTAAATTCATCACCCGTTTCGCCTACGCAAAGAGTGAACTTTATACGATAGAGTTAGTGAAGTTATGTCTGACAGTTTCTACAACTGTAAACTGTTTCTTTGTTGTACAGTACTGGCATTCAGGAGTCATTAACCAAAGGCTCTCACAGTTACACGCTACATACCTTGTAAGTGCAATTGGACTGGTTTCTCAATATCTATCAGTATCCGGTGTCAATGGACAACATTAAATAATAATAAAAAACATTACTGGTTCTTCATTCGAAGTATGCTTTAGTAACGGAAGTGTTTGCCCAAATTCAAGCATCCACACAAAGTACATGTCAACTTTAGTCAATGAAGACTGTGGCGTGGCAGTATTGGAGAAAGTGACTACAAACCTTCGATGTTATACATATAAACATGGTTATAAATTTCTCATTGATCTCGTGATGGGCCAATGCTTTCACCACTGTGATCTACAGAATCAGTAGTGCCTGTTATGTGATCGAAAAACTTCAATTTCTGCATATTAATTCACAGTTTCTTGGTTTTGATGTTAAGCTTGCATCCTCTATATGTTTAAATACCAGTCTCGGGTTTTTAGAGGTGGTTTGAAACGTGTGACCAAAAAACAAATTTAGTCCACATGCATAGACATGTCTCTTATTGCACTGCTTGAAGTTTAAGCTTCATTAGACATTAAAGTGACAAGCGTGTTCAGACAACAAATAATCTCAGATCTACTTTCCTTTTCTAGTCAGTTCGACTTGGCAGTAGCTACAAACTGGATGGTGTACTAAACCAATGGATGTCTTTTAAAAACTAGAGATTCGTTGTTTCACAGAAAAAAATACATTAATGGGTGTCACAATGTTCACTCACCTGAAGTCCACACATAACCTAGGAATTCCATCCTTCTTTCTCGAGGTGGTGAACTAATAAGGCAGAACACAGAGTCCATTCATTATGCTCTAATCATTTCCTGCTGTACAGATGATATAATCCTTGCAACTTGAATTAGGAAGCCATACCAAACCCTGGCAGCTTGACCATGGCCCTTTATGGTGTCTGTAGCAGTGGAACCATTAGTCAATGTTTAGGTGGAGCTTTAACCATCGCATAATCTGAAGATTGTTTCAGAGCAGGATCGGCCACTACAGTCACCCATTTCTCATTGTGTAATATGACTACATTTAACCACGTTGCCACAACCAACAACCACAGTTATAGTTAAAGTCAGTGAGACCCTTATGATGAACACATAGGGATACTTAACAGGCCGATATAGTATATTTAATTGATTTTTCTTTACGAGCATTAAAGGGCATGCTTCGTAATGTGTTTTTTTTCATGCAATTTTCTTAGATTGTCTGTGTAAATTGCCAAGTTCCCATAGAACCCATGGTTTTGAACTTTAAGGTCATCTTTAATGGTCGTCCAATATTGCATGAAGTTGAATCCGAAGTGAAACTTAGTAATGTCTTTGCCTTATTTGTACATTTTATCCTTATCTAAATGCTTTAGGATATCACTAACTTCATAGGTTCAGCATTCATCTTCTCCTAGTAACAACGTTCAACAAATGTTTTAGCAAATGATTAAGAAGAGCTACTTTCTCCATTTTTAAAGTAATTATTGGTTAAGCTGCCCCGCTTCATCAACGCTCCAAAACCATGGTGCAAGCAGTTGTTCAGCAGAAATACTGCCAGTGTCCGAGAGGGTAAATTTTCATTTTGTAAATGCCAAAAGACACGTGCATCTTAATTAATTGATGTGGTATCCTAAAAATGAGATTGTCCTGAAATATGTAAAAGTCTCTTACGTAGCTAAGTAGTCTCATGCAGGTACAAAGTTTACAGTGAAAGAACAGTAATCCCCAGTTTTCCTTGGATACTTTAGATTATCAATACATTTTTTTTTAAACTTACTCATCATCAGAGTACTTTTACTTTAATTTCACTCTTACAACTTCATTTATTCTTTTATTAGCTAGTTCGCTAATTTCGTGGCAAATTAAAACATATTAAAAAGCAGCTTAAGAAAAATGTATTTCCAACTTGTTTTGAGAATATTGTTGTTTACCAGCATATTGGAGTAGTCAACATCTTAACTGTGAAACAACTTAATGTATCATTTCTCGTTCTTCTACTGATGTAATGATGTAAAGTGAAAATGTATTAAATTGTTGAATTGTTTTATATCATATGTTAGAATAATTATTCATTGTAAGACTCAGTTGAAGGTATAAAAAAGTATTTTGATCTTAAATCAAGCTATATCATAAAACATACGTACTTTAATACAGTGCTATTTATTATCAATATCAATTTAGACTACTAAATATTGTTATTATATCTAATTACAATCAATATCTTTACTTTAGTAATTGACGTAATAAGCCTGGAAGTGCTCAGCCAAGCAACACACATTGTCAGAACAAAAGAAATCCCTCTGGTGGTCAGCACAGGGGTTTCATCTTTAGTTGTGTTATATAATCAATCCTTCTGCCTCAATGGGTCACGTTCTTATGACCCAAGCAAAGAGCAAGAACCCATGTATTATAGATGGATGTGTTCCCTTAGCAACGGATTGGCGTGTTATATCACACAGAAAGAAGGGAGTATGTTGAGACTAGAACAAACCCTTGGAGACATTTTCTCTTCTGTACTCTGTATTGATGGAGGGGTCCTTTTACCAGAAGAGTGAGTAAGATGTTTCATTGAAGCCAATTATTTATTTTTTCTTATGCATAGGACTAAACTTTTCTTATTTTTTGCTTTCAAATTCATTTGAACATTTTATCATTTCATTTATTCAACCTGTCTATGAAGAGTATATATTTAAACATACCTCATGTATGTCCAGCATTTCCCCCTGAATGTCACTCAGACTTGGAAACAGTTGTTTTCACATACAAATAAAGATATTATTTTCTTTGCCTTGTTGAGACTATTTCTAGGTTTTTTTTCTACTTTTTACCTATTATATAAGTTTTTGTATCATATAATTGACCTGTAAATATTATAAAGATAGCTAGATACTTTTAGAATGATAGTGATATGAAATTTTATACACCTAAAGATTTCACTACGGATGTTATGGATTATGAAAACCCTTGTGAACAGATCAGTCTTAGAAGGTGAACATTTATTACGTGTTTAGATTTAGGGAAGAGAGAAAAGAATTAGTAATAGGGGAATATGAAACCAAATAATTAGTTTGTACAAAGAGAAAAAGAAATGACTGGAAAAAATAAGCGAGATGAAGATAAAAAACAATTGACACTGAGAGAAAAAAAGCATTTATTAAAACGAAACATAGCAAAAGTTGAGGTACCAGTAATGTAAGAATTATAGTAGAGAAGAATTATATTAATTTTAGTATGCCATTAATTATTACTTGTTGAGCTGCGGCTGGCACTTTGTTTTTAATCATTTTACTACTCATCAGGACCTCTATCAGTCTATCAAAGTAGTGTATCGTCCGTTTTTATATATATATACTAGTATCATTTTCGATACAAGAAAGGAATACTTGGGACCCAAGACGAAAAAGTTCTGTGAAAGAATTAGAGCGATAAGATTTGTCATTTTTTTACTCACTAACTTAGATGAAAATTCGTTGAAATAGTGAAGTTTGATTCACTTCATAAACACGTATATATCTATTTAGACGGCTTTATAAGTACAATAAGCTTTAGTTTGCTCAGCCAATACTGTGAAATAATCATTGCTAATGTTCAGACATTTTAAAGGTAGTTTTAAACGGGCGATTTTTATGGCCGTTATATTGTTTCATCACAATCCCCACTATTAAGTACTATCGTACTTAATGATATGTACGAGTTATGTGTATGAAACCTTTTCCCTTACTTGAGTGGTTGCAGTTGGACATAGAAATTGGTATATTGATTTTTTCAGTGACTTTAATTAGTCTGTGTAAAGTGTTTTAATCGCGAGATATCGGATAGTAAGCATGGTTGGTCTGGCGCTGAGTTCGGGAATGGAGAGTCAGAAAGGTATGAAAAACAAATTACATAATAAATTTGTGATGGAATTTAAGGTAGAGAAAGAATCTGAGTATGTGAAAATTTGCAATAAAGATATAGGAGTGAGAAACTATGGATGGTATTGTGATAAAAATATAGTTAACAGTGAGAAACTGTGGATGGTATTGTGATAAAAATATAGTTAACAGTGAGAAACTGTAGATGGTATTGTGATAAAGATATAGTTAACAGT